GGGGCTCAGGCGTGGGCTGGCCAAGCTGGGCGCCGGCGGTGGTGGCAGCGACGCGGTGCTGTCGGGCGTGGGGCTGCACGTGGACTCCTTGGAGTCGTCGTCCTCCGACGAGCAGCGCGCCTCGCCCTTTTTGGCGCCCGTTGCGCCTGCAGCGCCCTTGGCGCTGGCCGCTCGCTCCTGTTTTCGGAACTTGGCCCGGCGGTTCTGGAACCAGACCTGTAGGCACAGGGGCCAATTAGCCTGGACGTCGTACAGCCCACCAGGTCAGTCCCCGACCGCAAAACGCAGGTGAGACATTGGTGGAGAGAGAAACCTCGGCCAAGAAAGATCTGACCGGATTATTTACCAAGTCGGGGAGATCCACAGCCTTCCTAGCGTTGGCCTCTCGACCCTCCACCCGTCCCCCGTCGTTTTCTCCACTCTCTTCTCCACTTGCCCCATCCTCCAGATCCTTGGGTTTTTGCCCTTCGGATATGCTCACCCGCGGACTCCACTGCCTCCCAGTATTCTTGGTCTCCTGGACCGGGCTCTGCCTTCACTCTCCTCACCCTGAGCCCTGCCTCCCAATTCCCTCTTAGGAAGGTGGACATTCCGTCTGGAGCGTCCTAGGGCCGTGAAAAGCGGGTTGGGACGCTAGGGAAACCTTTTGTTCAGACCCTCCAGTCAAAACCGGCCAGAGGAACATCTGCACACAGGATTTGTAAGCCCTGGCCCGGCTCTCTTCTGCCCTGCAACAGCCCCAAGCTCAGTATTTCCCACTGGGGAGGACACCTGGAACTGCTGACTGGTCTGCCCCGGCTCCTCCACGGGTTCTCCTTCTACCCCCTCGCAGCATGCATCCTGGCTTCTAAAAATTCTGAACCTTCAGCCATAGATAGGGCTGAGACTGAGGGGAAAACGAAGGCAAAGCAACATGGGGTTAAACAGCTCCTGTTTCTCAAGAGCCTCCAAGTCCTGGCCCCTCTGCCCTCCCTGGATACCCAACCACACCCAGGCTGTGCCCTGGTCACTGGCCCTAGTTCCTTGCTTCCAGGCTGCGGTTACCCTTGGCCCCTAAGTGTCCAATACTAATCTCCCACACTCCCTCCACAAGAACACGCGCGCACACACACGTGCATATACGCACCTGCACACGAGCCTCAGTAAGATCGATCTTGAGCGCCAGCTCCTCGCGCGTGTAAATGTCGGGGTAGTGGGTCTCGGCGAAGACGCGCTCCAACTCCTTGAGCTGCGCGCTAGTGAACGTGGTGCGGATGCGCCGCTGCTTGCGCTTCTCGTGCAGGCCGGACGGCTCCGGGAAGAACTTGTAGGGCACTGCGGGTGTGTGCAGGAGGGCAGGGGCAACGAGGGTGTAGGGGGGCGGTGAGAGGCCAAGCTCAGTCCTGCCCTAGAAGGAATCCTGCCACCGCCCCCCGCCCTAGTTTGTCCCCTCGGTTTCATCCTTGTAATCTCGGGTCAAGTGTCCCTATTGGTCAATGGAGGTGGGGGGGGGGGTGAAGAGGAACTCAGATCAAGGACACCTGGGGTTCAAGAGCTGCTTGGAACCAAAGCAGAATTCCTTCCTCCAGTCAAGGCCCATCGACCTGTCAGTTAGCCCTGGACACCATTTCAGTCCTCTCTGACCCTTCCATCAGTGTATCAGTGTATCTGTTTCTCAGCTGGTCCGCTTCTCTGACTTCAAGTTCTTCTCTGTCCACACTGGCCCTGGATATCTGGCAGCTCTCTGCTTTCTGGGACTCCCCACTAGCCAGTCTTGGGCCTTGACTCTGTCACTGAGACTCTCCTGCCAGGTCTACTTCACTCTGATACTGGCGCTCTTCTGTGTACAGATTTGGTTTCTTCTATCCCTCAAACCCATTTCTCCCGTTCCAGGGTTCATTTCCTTAGCCCTGCCTCACTCACATCTTTGGTCTCCATTCTTCTCCAGGTATCCCCCTCTCCTCTTCCTCATCTTCATCTTCCTCCATGGGAAACCCTCAACTTTCCCCTTTTGTGACACTCTTCTGTACCCATTAAGAAGGGTGATTATTTTTTCCACTCAAGTTCCTCTATCTTCTTTGATGTTCTTCCTCACAGTCTCTGTGTCCCATATTCCCTAAATCCTGTCCCACCATTCTCCCTCACTCTTTCTATACTCCATCCTAGTCTCTACTGCCCCATAGACAGTATCTCTGCATCCCTGACTCTAACTCTGGTTTAGTTCTCTATATATTCCTGGGGGTCCCCAATCTCCATTTTTGTTCCATTTCTCCCAGTCCCCATTTTCCCTAATCCTTATCTCCAACACCCCATTCCCATCCCCATCTTCGTCATCTCTGTTTCCAATCCCTTTTGGTCTGTCTCCCACAATTCCTGATACCATCCCCTGGTTCTTATCTCCATCTCCAATCATCCCCAGTCTCCCCATTTATGTTCGTTCTCATCTCTCTATGCCTAATCCCCATTGTCCCAGTCTCAGATCTTCATTTTTCTGGAGCCCATCTGCCCATTTCCTGTCCTCATCATCCCGATCATCCTCATCTGGCCCACTGTACCAATCTCCCCATCCTCGTTCTAGTCTCTGATGGCATCTCCTTGGTTCTTATTTTCCCCAGTCCTGGTACTTATTCACCCCCGCCTCAGGCTCCAGTCTTCTATTTGGGTCCCTGGTGGTCTTCCCAGGAGGCAAGAAAATAAGACTGGGTGGGGCAGGCTGGGACTCTAACTGAAAAAATAGGAATGTCTGAAAAGCTCAGTGAGGTTGAGGGTTCAGAGAGAGACTTGGATCAAAGGGCTTGGGAGTGCAGGAGGGGCTCCTGGGGTTCTGTAGGAATCTAGCTGGGAGAATCTGGGGTGGGGGAGAGGGGAAATAAAAGTGGCTCAATGACCGCCCCCCGCCCCCCGCCGTTTGTGGCTAGGGGAATAGATGCAGAATGTCTGGGCCAGAGCAGGATGGGTCTAAGAGAGGGCAGGAGGAATCTGATGGTGTTATGGCTTTAGGAAGATTTCTATCTGGACAGCTACCTGCCTCAGGAGTCCTTGTTGGGGGTCACGCAACACCGTGGGGCAGGGGTGATAAAGATGGGGATCTGAGCGGACTGAACTGGGAGCCTCTTACAGGGATACAGTGGATGGAGACGTTTGGTGGTCAGCTTTTGCAGGTGGGGAGGGGAGGGCCTGGTAAGGGGCACGGAGCTATTTCTTTGATCCGAAGAGATTTGGCAGCGAGGAAGAGGACCGAGAGGGGCGTTAGGGTGGGGTTCATCCCTGCCGAGAGGAACCTGGTATTACTGAGGGTCTCACGGGGCGTTGGAGGGTCTGTCCAGGGCAAGGAAGGGGGAGTCTGTGGGAGGCAGTCGCATTTGCTTGACGAGTAGGTCATGGACTGCGGGGTCTTCAGGATTTGGAGAAAGGGTTGGGTCGGGCTGAGCTCACCTGCCGAGTAGGGCGCGGGCTGGTGGTCGCGTAGGGCGCCAAGCGCGCAGTTGGAGGAGCCGAGCGCGGGGCAAGGTGGCCCCGCTGTGGGGAAGGCAGGCCGCAAGGGGCTGTACTGGAAGCCGCCGGGCTGGCTGCAGGCGCCGAAGTCGCCGTAGGCGGACGCCTCCATGGCCGCCACGCACGAGTCGTACGAATTGAGGTAGGAGTAGTCCATGGACCCGGAGGGGGCGGGGTCGGGGTCCGGGCCGGGTCGGGGTCGGGGTCCGGGCCAGGTGGAGGTCGGGATGGAGGTTCGAGCGCCAGACGCCAAGGACTGGAGGCCGGCTCTGGGAACTCAAAGCGCGCAGTTGGAGGAGCCGAGCGCGGGGCAAG